CTGCATAGATATACTCAGTGGAAACAAAAGTGTTGGACTAATAACAGTCACGCTAAAGTCTACACAATTTACATGCGTCAAAGCTTCTCGAACCTTCACCAAAGACACCGAAATTCAAGTGTTTCATTCGTTGCGATGTGCTGGAATGGGGTCCTGCTCAGAAGCAAAATGTGGTTTCTTGCACCCAAACGAAACAGTTCCGGAGTTACAAGACAGCCAAATGTACCCAGGGTACACCGCGTGCGACCACACATGTGGTGGATTACTTTGCGGCTGCCTATTACCCACACCATCACAGGATGTGTACGAAATATTCACCTGTCAAGAATGGACACCTCTAGTTCATGTTGCTATAGAGACCCAACTGTTTGGGAAGACTAAGTCAACCTACCGCAGCCTTCAACCTTATGTGGAAATGCAGCTTAGTACATTAAATGTAACAGTACTATCTGTTCAGGCACCTAGTCATCCATTAATGAATAAGAAGTTTGCACAGTCCTCGCATGAAACCATCATTCTGCCAGACTTGTTCCAGAGCTCGGTCGAATGCTCCACGCAACAACAGGCAACGAATGAATTCCAAAACTGCACAAATAAAGTCATCTGCAGCTGCAGCAGTGGTATCACCCCCACCTCGTTGCCACTGCCCAGACAACCGAATCGGTCGGTTACGCACGGATCAAGCGAACGTCTTACCATTGGAGACAGCGTACTTGCAAATGTCTAGTACTTCTAACAGTGTCATGCTGGACACCCGCGACGTCGAAATCAACATAGACGTAGTGTCCCACCTATTCGCAAACAGCTCAGAATATGTGATCGAAGACAGCTGCGATGTCGTATCAAGCGAAATCAGCGGGTGCTACAGCTGCCTCCACGGTGCCCAGATTACTGCCACGTGCACCTCGCACTACAGTAGCGAAGCATTAGTCAAATGCCCAGGGCATGCCTTCACTATACCTTGCAACCACGATGGTCAAAAAACAAACGTCAGTTTGGATTACGATCTTGCCCACATCGAAGAAATTTGCGAAGTCATATGTGGAAAGCAATCAAGCGTAATGGAGATAAAAGGACGCCTACTCTACCACAGAGTTGCGAACGTATCCGTTTTCTGGCATAACGCAAAAGAAAGTGAAAAAACTTGAAGACATGAATCCACTGTTGAAAACAATCATAGCGCATTGGAAGATTGCGCTAGCTTGGCCGGCACGGCCACCGTTCTTTTAGGCTTAACCTACCTCTGTGGCCCGGCAGTGATCCTGCTTCTCTTGAAAATGATGCTGACAATATTGAAACTTGCAGCAACTCCATTCCTATGTCTCGTATCTATGGTACGGTCATATGCCGCCAGCAGCCATCATCAATAGAATGAGGCACACTTGTACATAGGAATGATACACTCATCCACACATTATACCCGTAAGTCATAATATCACTATCATTCAGAATCAACCATACCACATGCACCCTCTGGTACCTGCACACCATATATATACGCCTACCACAAGCTCCTTGCACCATGCTAGAATCAGTCAACATGTGCGACGCTACCACCACGTCCGATATGCTCGCTGAAATATTCTCGGCTATACGGAACATGCAGTCTCAACTGGAGGCCTCTTTTGGCCACCTCGACGCCAAAATCGACGCCGTCGCAGCAGCCCACGAAGCAAAGATGGCCGAACTACGAGGCGCGTGCGCCGAACTCTTGGAACGCACGGCGCCGAAATCGAACTGTATATTCTGTCCGATCGAGGAGAACCGCGATGGCCATACCACAACACGATGCAACCGTTTACCGGACGCCGTGGCCAAGTCGTGTCAAGCAACATGGCTTGGCCTTTGCGAAAAGTGCTTGAAGAAAACTCATGAAGACGACTGCGGCGTGAGGTGTGCGGCGTGTGGGAAACCACACAATGTACTCCTCTGCTCGTTTCGACAAGGCGGCGGTCCCTACAAACGGCGGCACAACTGAGGAGGACAGCGCATATGGGCAGGGAACGACACTGATGGGCAAGGAGCAAGTAGATTTTTTTATTTTAGATGTGTATATTGTTTGCTTGTTGTAAATTTTCCTTGTATCCATTTCGTGGGGCTGGCGGGAGTGTTCTGGCACATGCCAGAACCTCTCACCTCCGCCCCCCTCTCTCTCTCCTCGGTCACGCCTTCTGAGCGTGGCCGCCTCCTCATCACTTGTTACGATACGTTCCTAGCGAACGGTAATAAACAGTACCACTGAACCACCTGTTAATTGACAGAAGCAAAGAGCGCCACCCTCCCGCTCAATTCTTAAAGGCGCCACCCTTCCGCCTAAAACAAGTCACCACACCTACAGCGGTAAGAAGACAATACTTCCAGATGACGACGAACTACGGCGAAGGATATGCGCCTACAATCTGCGCCAATATGCGCGAATTCTCAGAGAAATCGATGTCGCCGCACAGTCACTACAAATGAGGACTGACGTGCTAGAGAAACTTTACCAAAGCGAGGAATCCATCGCCGTAAGGAAAGTGATGACAGTGGAAATGGAGGAGCTCGATAAAGAGATAAGATTTTATAAAACCATTGATGATACTAAAATGTTTGTCTTCGACGTACAATGCCGCATGGCAGAATTTGAGGTGGAGATGGAGTACATAGAACGCAGAAAGAATTCTTCCTCAATAAGATATGAAAGTAGCTGTGAGCAACTGCTCAGAGATCAGTCGGACAACAGTTCGCCAAAACCAGGCGATTCTGTTTCAATCGATATGCCAACGATGAACAAGGAAAAGTTTGAAAACGAAAACGAAAGCAAAGAAGAGACTAACACTGAATCCAGAACAGCCGTTTCAAACCGCAGTGAGGATAGCTTCGACTATGCGACAGAAGCAGAAGCAAAAAATCCATCGCAGATAAAGTTAGAGGAAACAATAAAAGGAAGCAAAACGTCGAGTGATACTGATGACCAATACAATAACAAGATCCTCTCTACTCATAACGAGGCGCCTCTGCAGGTCACAACGCTTCCGGCAACCATTGAAGACGAGACAGCTGTCTCCAATGACGTTCCAGCTCCAATTCCAAGCAAGATTTTTTTGCCCAACGAGAATATCTTGGAGCTCGAGTTTTTATCACCGTGCCATTTTGAATGTATTAATCACAGCAATTTCATCGCCTGCTCATTCCAACCATCTGGCTCCTGTCGTCGCCACGTCCGCTCACATTTCGCGGATCTCAACACAGTCAAAAAGGTGCGCGTCGTTCATGGACGCCCATTACGATATCCTGACAAAAATTGCATTAATATACTTGCTCAATTGCATTGTGTATGTTTATGTGTTTCTCATTCCGCTGTCTTTCATTCATTCCTCGCTGGCCGGAATGTGCCGACTTTGTCGGCACGTTCCGGCCAGCGAGGAATGACCAAGGATGCTTATGGCATGACCTTTACGGCACGTAAAGGTCATGCCATAAGCATGACCTGCTGTGATATGAGTATGCTATTGCCCAGATGTTTGTGATGTTACTTTGACACGCCTATCATACTCAGCATTCTACTACTGCACTAACACGTGCTCGTCGTCTGACTCAATAAAGCTACTATAGCTAATGTGTTCTGCATAACACACATCAGGAGGCGCTAACTCGCCTCAGGCCACAAGGCCTAGGAGAACCACCGATACATTTGCAGCCCTCCAGATGCTGCTTGATCGCACTCAGCCAAGGTCGAATTGTGCATTTTGCACATTCGATGAAAACCGCGATCAACACATCTCGGGGCTGTGTACACGTTTCCCTGACCCCGTATCCCGCACAGTCCGAGCAACCAATCTCGGACTGTGCTTGAAGTGCCTCAAGCCCGTGCATGAGGACAATTGCGATTTTACCTGTAGCGGTTGTGGCCTCGGCCATAATTCGCTGCTGTGTAATCGCAGAAGGCCTCAACCGCACGGGCAGAAGAGGCCGCGGAACAACTAAGAAGTCGCTGCCGCCATCCACGCCAAGCCGCCGTCCACGCCAAGCCGCCGTCCACGTCAAGCCGCCATCCACGTCAAGCCCTCCGCCTCCACGCCAAACCCTCCGCCATCCACGCCAAGCCGCCCCCATCCACGCCAAGCCACCAGCCGTTCAACGCCTAGCCCTGCCATCCATGTCAAGCCGCAGCCATCCACCAAGCCACCAGCCGATCATCACGCCACCAGCCACACCGTCGAGCCGCAACGTCCCCCACGCCAACCACTTTCTACGAAGAAATCGATGGAAGATTACATATTTTGCATACTGTGGTTTTGACACACTATTGTATTAATTTTTGTGGTCCCCCTGCTCCCCGGAGTATCACGGTGACGATGATGTCTCCTCACGAGGGGGGGGGGGGGCGCGGCCCCGCATGTTGTTTTGGTGGCTTTGGCCCCCTTCAGTTGTTACTCTACATTGGCGATAACCGCCCCAATAAACCTCTCGCTCAATAACTGTTGTCCGCCTCGAATAACCCACTGAACCACCAAAAGTAAGTTTAACTCGGGTACAATTACCCAAGAGTCTCGCACAGTATACCCAATAAGATGAAGCTGCTTTCGCTTTGAGATCTCGGGGGTTAGAAGTGGCAGAGAAAAATCGAACTTTGGCCCATAGGTTCCATTATGGGGCTCCTACCCTGTGACCTTGGTTTGCCACGGGTCTCATTCAGCCGACCCACTGCCTTTAAGCGGAACTGCAAATGAGGGTGGAGTAAATTTCCTCCGTTGCTGAAGAATCGTTTGCACTGCGCTTGGCTAGCGCCCAGTTCGGACCTCGAAAGCAGTTTCCACTAAAAAACCCAATATCAAATTTGCCTGGAGGCTGCCTTCAATAAAAGCACCTTGCATATCAGCAATCTTCGAAATTATCTATCGCAGCGTGAGAGCATTTGGTTAGGGGCACCACGTATCGCACTTTTTCACCATCCTCAACATTACCTGGACAACACCTTTCAATGTAAATCGCGAAAGATATACAAGAAGTGAGTTCACCTCTGTGATGACTCCTGCACGCAGCAATTTCCTCCCCGAACACCGTTTCGGATCGCATTGATTGAAATCATACATCGCTAATTTGCAGGGCATCTCAAAACTTTCCTCATCAGAGTTTCCATTGCTCGATGGCTCATCATTATCCGAGTCCGCTGGAGAAGATGGACCAGCATCCTCCACATTGTAAGGTTGTCTAGATGCTCCTTTCTGCCGCTTTCGCGCACCTTTAACCATCTGAAGAGGTCGTTATGATCATCTCAAAAACAAGCATGCCTCTCACGAATTTCCAATCAAATCAAGCCACATCAGTAACTCTTCTTACAGGCAAATCATGTTCAGTCGAAGTGGTCTTTTCAAATGAAATGTATACTATATTGCATAAAATGCTGATTCCAAATCTGCCTTAATCATATGCAGAACGTTTATGGAGGAGGAGTTATGAACGCTTATTAGAGCAAAAAATTAAATGTGCAAGTAAAAAAAAAAGATTTTGTAATACCTTGTCTAGCTCTTCAATGGAGCACTGAAATCATCAGGGCATTTTAAAGAACTCTAAAATAAGAAATATCATACTCGATTGCATTATTTGCAGGTAAGATTTTAGCAACTTGTTTTCTCATTTTATCCAAAATGCACAGTCAATTTTTAGCTCCAAAAAACACCCATAACCTACCATCCTTATCTGCAGAACGTCCATAAACGTTCTGCAGATAAGGATGGTAGGTTTGGAAGCAGCTTTTAAGTCCTTCAATATGGTGTACTACATCTCATTTGGAAAGGCCAAATCAACTAAACAAGCATCTTTTGTAAGAAGTTCATTTATGAATGTTTGCATGCTGCGGTGAAATGTGAAATCCTAATGTTCAGTCTCGACAAGGGCGAATGCTGGCGATTTGGGTATTGCAGTGCACATCGTATTGGTGTAAAGATACAGTCTGTGTAAATCACGTACTCTTTTTTCCGTGGGACCAGTTGCCACGCTAGAGCTTCGTACGGGTAGGGGAACGAAAGCCGCCAGTTTGGGCCGCCTTCGCGGACTGCTGGTCCTGGAACGACATGCACCAACACTGCGAAAAGACCAGCTGGCCGCGAAAGGCAGCTCAAACTGGCGGCTTTCGTTCTCCTACCCGCTTCGCACCATTCTGGCGCGCGTGTGGCTTGAGCACTCAAATTGGTTCGGTTAGAGATCCGCACGCAAGGCCCTCGCCTTTCGCATGCGTGGTTCCTACGCGGGAGTACGTAATTGACACCGACTGTATATACTACCCTTGCGCACAATGTAGGCAACTACCTGGCTCTCAGATATATTGCAATGATAGGAGTATACAGCGCTGGAAAAGAGGAGGCAAATTTAACTTAACTGCCATTTACAAAAATTATTCACGTAGAAGCTGAGACATAAAACTACTTTAGAGAGACAGAGGTAACAAGCCTAGAAATGTTTATTATTGAGTGCTCAAAAGCCCGCAATATGAGACTACAAGTAGTGACTGACAGAAGCTAATTTTTTTCTTCAAAAGCAACGTACACATATACGAATATGGTAACTTCAGAAAAGTTATTAAGTGAACAAATTATGAATTTTCAGCTGAAAATATGGAGAGCATTGGATTATCACAGACGGCACAGCACTCAGTCAGATTAAACTTACAATGTGATTACTCAAGATTACTGCTCGTATGTAGAGTTCAAGTCTGTTGAATAATAGAAGACATCGACAAGATTTTCCACCTCGTGAAGGGGCGTAACGCATTCAAAAATGTACAGAGAAAGCAACGTATATTATATAGATATGAAGGTGGAAGCTGCAAAAGTAGCCGTCATCAAAATCGGCTAAAATCCCATAGTTTCACAGTCTTGTCGTAAGAGCCGGAGACGATCTGACGGTCGCTAAATTGCACACATGTAACTCCATCCTCATGGCTGTGTAACGTGCACAATCGCTGCAGTGAATCCACGTTCCACACCTAAAGACCAGAATTAAACAATATTCTAACAATAGGAAAACGGAAAAATGGTTCAATGCATAATAAGGTAAATAAGCGGCAGAAATGCTGCAGCAGTGGAAGTGAAAATTCGGCCCAAATAGGCCTGAACGGGCAACATGAAAACTTTCAAAATTTACTTATAAGAGACATTTTACATGCCTCGGCCTTTCCCAAGGAGATGTATATGAGTTCAAAAGTCTACATCGCTGATCACAAATCACCGTCTATATCTGCTAAACCGATGTAGCGGACAAAATAAAAAGTATTTTCCTGCTTCCAGGATGAGTGGTCAAGAGTTACGTCCAGTAACACTATTTCGACTAAGCTTGCGATGTACTTCCCGATCAGTCTGAGCAAGGAGTTTGAAGACCTGGCCACCTCCAACCCAGTATCCCTGAGTTCAAACCGATGTAAGTATAGTCGATTCGTTGACCGACGGACTGAACATCACTAAGGAGCACGCACCGTGAGGTAAAGCTTGCCCCAGTACAAACTCGCCATTGTACAAGTCGTGCCCTCGCGACAATTCAGCCGCGCTGCACCGGGTCCGCAGCGTTCGAGCAGTCCGTGCGGTCAACAAATCAACGATAATTTTCTAGCAAATTAGCGCTAGTTATGACATTACATGCAACGGTTTAGGGTATACCTCTTAGAAGAAACCTATTTCGAGATAGCTTCCTATATCAGAAAATTTGCTAACGCAATGGTAAACTCGATTTTTGAAGTGGTGAAACTGGGATGCGCTGAAGTACACAAAAAAGAGCGAGAAAAAACTTATAATACCTTCTTTTCACTAGAACTTTTCAAAAAGTACACTAAAGTACATAGAAATGCAGGTAGATAGACAGATTACAACAAAAACAATGTTTTGTAGGTCAATGATTTCGCTTTTATTGAAGAATAACACCATGTTATTTCTAAAATTGTATTTCAATAACCAAAGTGATACATAAGCAGATACCTTGATTGTTCTGTCATCTGCAGCACTGACGATCCGCCAAGTATCCACCTGGAGACAACGAACTACACCAGTATGGCCTTCAGCCAATTTCCAGTCTATGGTATGCATGCACCTGAGCATGATGTTGAGACGATAAGAAATTGGAAATAACCGTCCAGCAATACCCAAAAAAAGACAAACACGGCACTAACTTTCCTGTCCTCACATCCCACATTTTAATCATTCGATCCACACTGCCAGAAACAATGCGATGATCGTCAAAACGAACACAAGTGACCTTCAATTCGCAGTTCGAATTTCATAACTCATAATTATGAAATCGATTATAGTACCGCGTTATCGTGCGCATTATGGATTGTCATTTCTGGTCTTCCCGTCCTCGTATCCCAGCACTTTATTGAATTATCCGCTGACCCGGATACAGCCAGTGATTCTAGATCACGGTACTGCACACAGAGAACTGCATCATTATGCCCACTGAAATAGGACTTTACAAAAGTGACACATGATTGATTCTGGGGAGTAGTCGAGATACATGACTCAAAAAAACAACAAATATTTGAGTTGATAAAGACTTACACCAAAGTTCTAACGCACGCTCCCGTATTCAAAGACCACAGCTTCAGATGCATATCGTACGAGCCACTAATCAAATGCTCGTGATCCATCTAATAAAATTGTACTTCAATGTAAAAGCGGCACATGAAAAGATAACATACCTGTAGACATCGCACATAATTGGAATGGCCTAACATAGTTTTACGACAGCCTATAGAGGACCATCGCGGATTGACATCAACATTCCATATTTTTATGGAAAAATCATTTGAGCCAGATGCTAGCACATTTCCATTTAGGTCAAGGCAACGAACTGTTGCTGAATGACCGTTCAACGCCATAGTGCCAAGATCTGTAAAGACACATTGCACTGCCATAACATCTTACCATCTGGTTCCGTAGTTGTATGAGGACACCAACTCCATGGTCTACATTCCCCCACAAAAAAGAGCTCGAGAAGGAAAGAGCACAAGCACACATTTACTTAATCCAAACGTAGCGCTTGAGAAGAAACAAGAAAAGCGGTCCAATTCAATTAGGAGTACTGACTGCTACAGCTAAATATCAAATTCAATACTTACTGCCGACATCACTTGATCCGCGCAAATCCCATATTCGAATTGTTGTATCTGATGACCCGCTGACAATCCTATCATCATCGAATTGTACACAAGTGATACCTTGCGTGTGACCCGTAAACGTTCGGACAACGCATCTCAACCAAAATGTTTTAAAAAGCATTTACTTCTAACTACAGGCAGAACATTCTCACCTTCCCGCGTGCCAATTTCTCCACAAACGATATCTTTCCGAAAATGCGTCCTTCCATCGTACAGTACCACAATCAGATGTGTGACTACGGAGCTGGGATGATTCGGCTTCAGCAGAACAGAGCCGAAACTCGCGAGGTAATTGACAAAGAGCACGCCAAAGCATCGGCTCGGAGCAAACATGTCGCCAATACCTGGACACACGGGAGCTCCGGCAGAGGGACACTGAAAATGGTTGATTTATGGATACTTTTACCCAAAATCAAAATTTGTTTTTGACTACAACATACCTGGGTCAAGATAAGACATTATGCGAAGTACGATATGCGATGGGAGCAAGGTTAAGGGGTCTTTGCTTCCATTTGATGTTGGACGAGATCGAGCGACCCTCAACCGCGATATAAGCAGACTGATATACTCCAAGTTCGGTAAATCACAATCGCTCTAAAACGACTCCCTAAATTACATTAAAATTCACTTTTAGCAAAACAGTGGCCTACCAAAAGCTCTCTAATGAACAATTTCTTCTCATCTTCATCGACATCCGTCATCCACTGTCGAAAAATCTGAAATCCCAGAAATGCAAGCATGAAAACATGCGACAAGCTTGTATAGCTATAATAAAAGCAAATGCACTTGAATAAACCACCTTTATCCTTTCGGCAGTTTTGAGCTTTTTAAGATGCCCATTTGTCATTGCACTGCCATATCCTTTCGTGGTCCCATTATGCACCTGACATTCACTAGCATCGCTAGGACCAGGCCAGGCCATGCAGCCAGTGATTTCTGGTGGAAGAATTCTTGCTAGCTGTAATTCCTTGATTTGATCACAAAATCGTAGGGTACAGGGCCATACCAGGCCCTTTCACTAGTTCGTTTACGCACAAAAGAATGGAGACGTAAAAATCTCAGCTTCGTAAACAGCACAAAGGTTCACAAACAACAACATCCACTACTAAATGGAACATGAAAATGCGAGGCGGAATTAGCATGAGGAATCAGTTGCAACGATCGTCCAACAATTTGCACCGGAGCAGCATTGCTGCACAACGACATTGCTGTCGAGGGGGAGGGAGGAGGGAGGCAGAAGCGCTCCTTCCCTATAATTGGGTGTAGGCAAGTGAATATATCGTAAAAATGCCTCTTTCCTTCTGTATAACATTTTTTCAGAAATAACAATTTTTTTTTGAAATTTCAAAATCGATAAGTTGCTTCATATAGGTGAAGTCAGTGATTTTGCTAAGGTGTCACGCAAGTACTGCCGCAAGCGGTCATTTTCTGCTTTTAATGCGTTGGTACAGAAATACCGTAGTTCTAATGCTTTGAGGACGTCAAAGGCAGCACATAGTAGTGAAAAGCGTGCGATGCGCTGGCACCTAAGGGAAGATGTTGGGACGCATATTACAGAAGGATTTTTTAGGCGCGTGGCCGCCGCCACGCCCATATCTTCCTTATGAGCTTAGCGCCTACAGAAAATTGAAAGGCATCCTAAAACTTTTCGGGCGTAGCTTAATGCCGGGAATGCCCCTCCCACCACCCCTCCCCCTCCCTCCCGTCCGTAGGACTCCAGTTCGGTGAAAATCCATCCAGTTCGCCACCGCAATTAGGTCAGCTGCTCTTTTCCATTCATAAAAGAACCGTGTATATAACTGCGGCAGATAGAACTATGCACTGGAGGTACCATTTGATTTAACTGGCTTGGCTTCGGGAAGGCGGGACTTCTTGACCTAATCAAGGCTTGGTAATGATTAGAGAGCACTCGCGCGAGAGATGCAGGTGAGTGGGCGCGGGCGGCCTTAATTAGGCCATAAAGCCCCGCCTTCCCGAAGCCAAGCCAGTTGAAGCAAGGTTAAGACATTGGTAAGCTTTTCATTTTAATGTCACAAAACTTCGCCCCTTCCAAAAGCTAGCATGAATTTCACAGGTTCCATTACTGCTGGAAGTTAGCTGTCTCGCTGCTAGATACCCATCAGAGGATTGACACAGGGATCAGTATATCACTACTTTTCTCTAAATCACCAAACTCAAAAACCAAGGAGCGCACCAAAATGGATTTTCTACGGCTGTAAGCAAAGAGCCATGGTCAAATCAGAATTTCTGATTTGACCACGGCTCCCGGGAAGAAAGATATCTTCCAGTAAATAGAGATACACTACTTTGCCATTCTATTAGGTTGTCCGGAAATTAATGCAGGTTTTGCACATTCTCACTTCAAAGCGTCATAACTCCTTTGGAATTCCATATTTCGATATGAGGTAAAAACTACTGTGATCAACAAGTCTTTTTCTATTTGTGCCATTTTCTTTTATAACTGTAGCTCCAACAAGCAAATTACTGAAAGCCAGAAAGTAAAGAGAAATTTTTTTGACAAGTTCATACTTGGCAAGTTGTAAACTCCTACATAATATGAGTGTTCAGCCAGAAACTTCTGCAGCTTATAGCCATGGACCAGTACTACATATATAGCTATGCAGAAGATTTTTTAGAAATTTTCTGCGAAAGAAAAATTTGCGGAATCAAAATTTTCCATTTTTCGATATTTCCTCCACGGCTGCGATCTCCGATAATTTTGATTTTTTATTAACTCATCAAAAATAAAGCCTGGAAGGTACCAGCTGAGATAATACCTGACGGCACTGGTATCCCTCTTCAAGCACGAGGAGAGACTTTCACGGTTGCTTTCTTCAGAAAAGTTTTCTATGTCATGGAGTGGCCGCGACAATTATTTATGTTAAAGCCTCAGTTTCTCTACTCTCACAATCGTTCAAAAGAAGCGCTACTATCTATTTTGTAGGTTTACTTAATGTCTTGCTTCAGCTATATTATCATGGAAATATCCCTTTTGCCGAATAAGTTCAAGCCAAAATAGTGCAAAGGGTAATTTTAGTAATTTGAAGCTTCATCTTCGGATAGTTGTAGATTTTGAACAAATGAAGTTGGTCGTAGAAGTAGTATATATAAGAGAGAGCAGGAAGAGCGGCTTCTTTTAGATGCGAAATTGGTCGAAAGATGCAAATTCACAGAAGAACGATCCTTTTGAAATTGCATTTGCAGAAACCTGCATTAATTTCCGGACAACCTAATACATCAGTGCAAGAGTAAGTTTTGGATGTTCCATATCGCAAGAAAATCAAACACTTTCCTTCATAGTTTATTACAAATGTCCACTAAAACAAGCAATCAGAGATATAGACGAAATAGTCAAATAATTTACTAAGTTGTGTATTCAGTAGTAGTTTCAATTGAAGTTCATCAAGTCAGTAAGGTCAATATTGAAATTAGAGATGTCTCTAACTTATTGTGGGCTTTACAAAAAAGAGATGATAAAATTTAGATATATTGCAGTCATCTAAGAGAAGCTGTCAAGTTCTGGATAAGAATGGAATATGATACCATTTTGTGGAAGAGGAACAAAGAGAAAGCCATATGTAAACAAGTTAGTCGAAGAAAAAAGAAGGTTTATTAAGTACGATTAGCTGGGCGAAGTGGACGTCCAGGAGTTCTGTGAGAAACCTGCTCAACATCATTGAATAGTACAGCAGTTCCTCCACCGGCAGTTGGTATACATTCACCCTGAACAAGACATGGCGTGTTTTAAGGCTCGAGTCGCCAAAAAATTGTCACTTGTCCCTAGATGATAACTGTGCCGGTGTCAGTGCGTTGCTATTGTTCAATGCAAAGCGGCAAGCTGTGTAGCCTGATGCCTAATCACAATGCATTTTAAACATACGATACAAGCAAAGAAGCTAAGCTGTCTGCAAATCTTTTTCATGCGGAAAGTGCAAGTGCTAATGCTCGTACGTGACGTGCACTCTCGTAGCACAGCGTAGTGCAAAGGGAAAATGACTCACCGATTTTCAGCAAACGCAAAACGCAAGGAACATTCCTACACATGGATGTGCGGACGAGATTATAGACAAAAATCAGCGACTTCTGTTTCAGAACAGGTGGATGTATTTTCTCCAACGTCGGCTGAGACCTGTGGCAACTCCGCCGAGTGTTTATGCACACGGAGTCGTTTCTAAAAGTGATAAGTGCCTTGCAGTGCCCAGTGTCATGCGAGTGAATATAAGCGTTTTTAGTGAGCTGTAGGTGAAGTGACAGACGAGACAGTGGTGGGAAAAAAGCAGTGACGGTTTGCTGCGAAGTATCACTATAAGAAAGGATAAACAAAACCTTGACAACGCTTGTGTTAATATTTCCATCCTCATCAACTTCTTGATGTGTCAACACATAGTCACTAGACTTCTGCAACTGATGAGCCTGAAAGAATCCCATATGAACGAACTGATGAACCATATGAGCAATACGAAAAAACTGATTGTTTAGACACAAGGAACTAGATTTACTTTTCAGTGATGATCCATACTTACCTCAACTCTTGTGACTTGCTTGGAGTTTTGAGGTAATTTAGCACGTAAGATACCACCTGTAGGCACTCTGTGAGCCGGTTGATGATCAAGCACCCTTGGAGCAGACTTAGACCTGAAATAAGTGTTTACAGCAGTATAGAAATGTTCTATAGAAAATGAAACCATAACTTCTGTGATACTTAGGATTGAAATAACCCGGTCCACCGGGTGTCCGTAAATCCTGTTGTGGTCGCCGAGACTCTCTTGATGTGCTCGGTGTTGGCATAGTTTTTTGCTAAAGAACACATTCGACCAACTTTCAGTCTCAAAGTTTCCATGAGATACCTTTTGTAGAGGTGTAGGAGCTGCAGGAGTGGCAGAATGTGCTTCTCCTCCCGTGGAAAACTTGCTGCGAAGCTGAGCAAACGATGGTGAAGGAGCATCGCATATGTCTTGGATCTGAAATATACGCATTACAACAACAGCAGCGCATATCCACTAGGTTCTAACAATATGAAGAGACTGACCACTTTGAGTTTCTGATCTTGCTTCCTCATCCTCGTACGCTCTTCTTTCACACTTCTACGCAGGTTTTCCTCTGCTGAAAGGAGCTTCTCATCCTCAGCTTCATATCGTGATAATCGCTCGCGAAGGGACATGATCTCTCTCTGAAATGTTGCTTTAAGAATCGTGCACGGGTGTTCCGTGCCTAGAGAACTGCAATAGGTTGCTACTTCCATTCCTTGATATGACCTGTACATCACGCTGTTCCCGGATGCCTCGTCGTCACGTTAAGCAGAAAATATCAGGCTAGAGATATCACCACCTAGCTCCTGCTCGCAACTTCCCTAACCGCATTTTTAGCTGCCCCGCGCAAAGTCTAGAAGCGGAAAACGGCTTAAAGCCACTCAACGAAGGTCTTAAACTTGCTGGGTGAAAGAAATAGCTCAGTGTACTAAAGATATATCAGACTGCTTGTTGCTCTCTCCATGCAGATAGCAGAGGCTGCGACAACCCACCCGGAGAGCACCTCGGATTCCGAAAGTGCGGAAACATTTTTACAGAAGCCACTCCATGCTCTTCTCAATGACACCAGCTGATTGAGCACTACGGCAACTTCTGCAGAACTTAGAAAAATACGCAACAGATGAAAAGCTCATCATCTGTGAAAAGTTTCTGAGGGAGTAAGAGGTGACTTTGTGTACACTCGAGTTTTGTTTGTAAAAACTCATAAAATGTGTGTCCTTTTACGAAAAAGTCATTTATAAGTAGCGCTAATCAGCAGCTGAAGAAGATGAGTGGAGTTATGTATCCGCCTTCAAACTAGACATTTGGTGGAGCATCGCAGAAATTTGAACACGTTTTGTAAAACTAGCTTGCAGGCGTGGTGCTTCACCTCACAGTATACGAAGATGTTGCATGACGAGCTTTCCCCACTCTCTATAACCTACTGGCTCAAATCCGCGCAGAATTATCGAAACCGCTATTCTCTGAAGGTCGTGTAAAAGGACGCTGACGATATGCGCCATTTTCTAGCCTCTGTTCGCTGTCAGAAGCAGGGCGCCTTTACCTTGAGCGCAACTTTCTCGGTGTAGGGGCACCGAGAACGGTCTACGAGACGTTTTTAACCGAAGAGAAGAGTGGCTCGCTTTGCATTGAAACTCCTGTAGAGTTCACAGATGGACGCAAAGAGTTGCGCTCATTTATTTGAATTAGAGGCAATGTCGGAACAATTGTGCAGAGAAATTTACGCCTCTCTGGGCTTATGCTTCCCGCTTGATTTTGAAATTGCAATTTGGCAGCACAACAACGTCAAAACGGTCTATTCCAGAGCCTTTAATTCTGAATTTGGATGTCGCCACCAAAATTAAGAGGCAAAGTCGTTGTAAGGCCCTATGTCTTGACTGAGTGCGATACTCTGGCTTGCAGCTTGACGATCCGAGGGCGGGCCCGTCGACGACGCCCACAAAAGGCGTGTACGTCGTAGCTTCTGAAGCTGTTTTCTCGCTTCAGAAGCTAGCTGGTGCGATAACACCTGGATGCGAGTTTTACCAGGATAGGTGGTAAGCAGTCTACATTTCATTGCTATCCTTATACCTGCCCGGTACACTTTGAATCGAATCAAATGATTATCCGATTATTCGATTAAAACGTTCGAATGCAAATGATTCGAAAATTCGAATATTCAAAAATCCATTTCGAATATTATGCAATAGTCGAATATTCGAAAACTTTCACTTTCGAATATATTTTTTCTTACAATATAAGAAAAGTCTAATATTCAAAAACTATACTTTCAAATATTATTCTATAGTCAAATATTCGTTGTCATAATTCGCTTATCTGATGTTAATGAATTTGGAATACTCGATGAGCATCGAATATTCGTTCAATGGGCACAGACCAGCGAAAATTTGCAAAACATCGAATATTCAAGAATTCGATATCTATTGCATATACGGAGTGCCTCTAAAGTATCTACCCTCTCTTTGATCGCTGATATCTCACTTCACACAATGATTTTGCCAACCCTGGGGTGCTATTCCATAGAGTTTGCTGCAGCTTACATCTGCAGGAAGAATGTGGATCACCCTTAGCTCTTATTACTGCGGGATTACGGTAGGAACCTCTTGCACATAGAGCCACTACGAAATCAGCTTTTTGAAAAAATCTCTAGAAAAATTCTCAAAAGTTGTTTAGCAGTGCTTTTACGTATGCTGATTTCACTACACGACTTTCCACAAAAATTTCAACTTTTTTGTGCAATCACATTTCTGTGAACATTGAAAGAAATTGTTACGCTGTACCTGACATATCTTACAGAGCGTTACGGGGTGCAAATTTTGTATTCTCAGTAACTTTGAATATCCTAATGTAGCGCTTTTGGTTTTTATTTGATTTCCTTTCTCAGACGAGACAGGCCCCCGCATTCCCAAAACCTTTTTCACTTCTTCCAAGGTAATTTAACAGCAAGTGCGATCGGTAAATTGCTTCATACTGTAGATCTAACTGAAGCAGAACCACAGAAGATCTAAGTTCGGCAAAACATGTGGGAGGAAAATCAACGATCAAATATTCTCTATATACCATTGGAGCATCTTATACATCAGTCCACAACTGTGAATGGGGGTTATATGTTGAATGGTCTCGTGCGGTCTGAACAATATGCAAGAAGAGCCGTCTTCATGTAGCAGAAGTTCGATTTCATTTGTCAAGGACGTCACGATTTGAAACGAAAATATTTTTCGAATTTCTAAAAATTTCCTTACAACCCTCATGGAAGTACGCTCTAGGTACTCAAGTCTCTTGATGTCACCACTAAACCGCTTTCCCATCATAAATTGTAACATAAAAGTGTTGATCTAATTGATTGTATGAAACAATTAATTAGCGAATTCCTCGGTCTCCTATAGCCGTTATCTCATTGACATTCAATTTATACAAATATAATATCATACAAAGGTCGAATATTTGAAAATGCCAACGAATATTATTTGATAGTCGAATATTCGACTATTTTCGAATAATATTCGATAGTCGAATATTCGAAAGTTTTGATTTTCAAATATTAGGTCGTCCCGAAAGTTTTGTCCGTTTTTTAAACCACTATAAAACTACGCACAATAAACATCTGAATGAGTTTCAACATGCACTCAATGCAGCTTTTTCTTCTCTTTCTTATGGATACATTCTCGAGCCACAATCTTGTATGCTTTTTTCGATATTTGTTGAAATACTCCATCCGTCAATTTCATCTGCTCAAAGTTCGACTAATTTTTAAAAATTTCGTTCTAAAATTTTTAAAAAGTTTAAATATGACTGTAACAGAGCAATTCTTGGACTACAAAAACATATTTTTAGATTCTCCGAATCTGCTGCTTTTAGCTTGAAAAAAATTATTTCTTAAGAGGTCTCGATTTTTGGCAAAGTCATGAAACACACAACCGCATCGATTACACGGAAGTCTCCAAAATTTCTGCGAATTGAAAAATGAGTCTTATGAAACATTATTTATGCAACATCATCAAGTTTGATTTGCCTTGAGAAAGCAGCTTTTTGGAATTTTCGGTACTTTTACGTGGTAAACGTAATCAAAAAGTCGCGGTTTCTATTAAATAATTAATTATAACGGACTTGGTAAACGTGGTCCATGCAATTTAAAATAAACATAATGTAGCCAAAGGTTTGCTCTACATAACAGTTACCAGCGCTCTTTGAAATCATCAGGATAAAAATTTTCAAAATTCATGAAAGATTTGGCGTTACTGCTAAGCTGCTCAAAAAACCATGGCCATAACATAGCAAAGACAAGACAGATAAGAGAGAAAATACAGCTGTATGAAAGAGGATAAAAATCTGAATCAAATGGTACCTAGCTCGCCCGTGGATTGATGTGTGAGTTTCAGTGTTCGATGAAAGAAACCGACAAAACTTTCGGGACAACCTAATATTATTCGATATTCGAAAATTCGAAAAAATTTTTTTGATTTTTCTATAGTATACTGCCCGGATTTTGCCTTCAACAGACCGCCCACACTCGACCAGAGTACCGCAGACCGGATGGACCTGCTATCAGTCAAAGACAAAATTTGCATCTGGCTTTTGTTAACAATCAAGGAGATCTCATAGGTATCTGTGAGAAGCAAACGCTGCGGTTGCACAAAATAGCCAGGCAATCTGAGAATTTGAGCTATCTAGCCAAACTTGCAGCTATACATATTATTAAATACTCAAATTGCGTTAATACGTTTACGTAAAGTAAGGCGAAAGACCTCGTCTTCCTCGAAAAAACTGGAGTGAACGTCTCATGAGATTGATGACTGAAGCGGACATCAACCAGATTTAGGAACGCTACTAGTAAGAAATAAAACCTCCTTTCCGTTCAAACCCGAAACAGTTCATTCTGGATATGGACTTTTACTTACTGGCTCTGTTCGCCAAGCTCATAACCATTTTCTCCTATATTTTCATCCGGTTCGCTGGAAAACAAGATAATGGCCGATATGTAAAACTAACCTTCAGCTTCTTATTTTCGGCGCAGTATGCGGCGATCTGTTCAGCATCTTGCTCACTGCGAGCACGTAGCTCTTCATTCTCTACTTTGGCGTAGTCCGCGACACAAAGAGAATTCCTCAAGGGAATCTCGACGTCATGTGCTGAATGGAGTGTTTGATGACTCACAACTCAAAATAAATGCCAGCAAGAAGAGTCACAAACATTACCTTGAGATTCCAGATTATGGTTCTCGCGGTTAGCTATGTTAGCCAAGGCAATACACTGCTCTTTGAACTTCGCAACGGACGCGGCATCGCCAGCATCCTAGAAGTGATGCGGTGCAGAGAATTGCCAAAATAGTGCAGTACATACCTTGACAACAAAGTGAAGAGATAAAACAGTGCTTGACTTAATTGATGGATGTGATGCCATAGCTTCATCAATCTCGTAGTTCCATCGTGTGTAGAATCGACGTGGTACCGGCGGTTTTGAGCCACTGTCGATCACTAGTCGATCCTCACCTCGAGTGACACACACGGCCTGGGATTCTTCCGCAAAGGCTAATACATTCTGAAAATTTTTTTTGGATAAAATCTTGCTGGGAATAACGAAAAAAATTAGAACTTGTAGGCAGCCAAGAGCTGTCAGCGACTCACCAAGTTTTCTTCAAAATCCGATGGTTTTGGATTTGCGCAGATTATCATCCGTATCTTTCCACATCCCTCGAAAAAGTTCTTGAATAACATTGTGAGTTTTGCATCTCGATATGGGATAGTTTCAGAAGTTCCCGATCGTTGATTTCGCCTGAGATATACTGATGCATAACAAAAAAAAAGTTCTTTTCTCATTTACCTCAGTTTGTCAATACATTGGCGCAGTACCATCAAACTTTTATTGATAGAAGCAGCTTCAGCCAAGCGGTCACCCACGTTGTTTGTCCTTTTCGTCCTAGATTCAAAAAAACTGGGTTGAAAAAAGCTGATCACAATGCTTTACCGCTCGCTTCCTGCCAAATCCACAAGAGAAAGCTGAGAAACTATGATATTGTTTGGATCACTGTCTGGATAAACAGCAAAACCGGTGCTCTGAAGATAAATTAGTAACAATGAATTCGACGAAGTAGCACATGCTGATCGATGACTGAAGACGAACTTCAAATGGAGCCATGACGAGCCGGATTGTGAAGACTGAATGCGAGCGAGATGACTCTTTGTTGAGCACTGTATCGCTTGTTCTTCTCCTCTCTTCGCCTAGGAATATTGTTGTTTTGAGGAATAAGACCATTCAAATTTGTAGCACTGGATCGCAACAACGACTACACTCCCAGTACCTTTACAAAAAAGTTCAAGAGCTTCGTCACTGGTCTCCACTTCGATCTCTTGAGCACCCTCCACGTATACCATGTTATTGATGTCCATCCGTGTATCATGCTTCGTCAAAGCGCTGTAACTACATCACAACATAGGAAAAGATAAAAATGGAGTGTATTAAAAAACTAATACCTCTTCGGCTCCAACAGGTCGTAACAGTAGTTATTGTAAATCTCCACGTAGGAAACAAATACAGCGCAGACGTAGTTGTCATTATAACCAGGAACCTAAAATTGCCAAGATCCTCAACATTATGATACTGAATAGGCAAGAAACCTACAACTCTCCTCTCCATATAGCGAGTATCGATCTCATTGCTAATTTGCAGACGTTCCAGCTCGTATTTTTTCCTTGCCAGATGCGCTTCTACTTTCGACCGTATGCCAAAGCCATTCCGACCATTAGGGTAAAAGACGCATCGATCAACCCTAAAAAAGTCTACCATAATTCTGTGTAAATTGGCATAAAACACACTTATTGTCGATACTGTTGAAAACAACGTCAAGCGTTCTCGGTAATAAGCCCGTTTCTTCCGGTGTTGGCTTTCCCGTCATGGTATAAGTCTTACCACTGCCTGTGACCTGAACATCTTAGAAATTGAACGATATTCGAACTCGGCTTAACAAGTATGGACTAAGACAAAAAAGATCAATCCTCACTCCATAGGTAAAAAGAAGTCCATTTCTCCCTGCAAGAAGATTTTGTATGAGGTCGACAGCGCAGCGTTCAAACACTTTTTGCTGGCGATCGTTCTCGTCGAAAACATAACCAAATTCAAAGTCCTTCACTCCCTAAAATAGTTTTTACAAAGTGCCTCTTCAAATACCGGATATCTAGAAAGTTGCGATTTGCTACAAAAATGGCTTACGTAAGGTGATCCATCTCTTCTTTGCAAGCCAGGTGGAGGAACGACTCGAAGGACATTCTCCTCAGTTACCGTCAAACATGGTGTAGGTCCATAATAAGGAGTAAGCCTGCATACAACTTCAACTGCATCCTTGTCTTCGATCGACCTTTTGGCTCGATTCATATTACGTGATGGCGTTGCACATCGCCTGGAACCGATGTTCCATGTTAGAATGTCCATGGTCTTGATGCAGGATAGTGCAGCAAAGTAAATGAGTTACACTGAGCGTTGATATTTATCAGGAGCAGACTTTACAGTCGTAGCTCCTTCAAATGGATGGGTGTCATGACAAACGAAACAAGGGATTGTGACAAGACATGTCAAAACGTAGTTTAGATGTGTCTGGCAAAGCCTTACTCCTTTGTTTGCCATGCTCGATCTCTCGAGCCTTGTTTGTCAGGATTTAAGATCGCCAATGAGATTTTCATTGATGAATCAAACTGCATAATTATACGGCGAGATTTGATCTAGACAAAATTCTTGTAAGATAACCTTTGAATGTATCTATACATCTAACATGCCCACTGCTTGCTGTACGTTTATATTTAAAACCTGACAGATGTGGATTTGTTGCAATGCTATCACTGCCTAAAGATTTCAACAAAATATTATATGAATAAAATAGTGATGGAGGCTAAATGTGAATCACATCAAAACAAAGAACTCAAAGTTGATGGATTCACCTAAATGTTTCAGTTACTAGAACCAAGATCTTCTTTAGCTTGATCAACCATTTACATAGTTGCAATTTTTTCTGCTTTGAAAGAGAAAAATGTCTATTGTCATAAAACTCATTGACCTTTAGCTATATTCTCTACTGGAAGTTTACCGCTACTTGCGGTCACTGGCAAAGAAGCCCCGACAACAGAGTATAAATAGCGTCGAAGTAAACTTACTTCCTTGCATGCGACATTCCGACGAAGTCGAGTGGCCAGATTAAAAATGTGCTTTCTAGATCACTTGGATAAGCACAAGAATAAAGAAGCACTTGCCAAGAATCTGAAAGAGAAAGCAGTAAATTGAATAAGTTTCACGTTGTTGAAACGAACGCCACTTTTGAAAATTTTTAACCACCGCTGTCGAGGATTCGCGATGGAGCGCGCTAACATCCACGGCATAATCGGCGGAGTCCGCATCCTAGCCCAATTACACCTACTTAGGAAAGTGTTCCTCTACTAGCACTGCCCAGATAGGATTAAATGTGTTTATACTGTTCTAAACTTATTTGCACTCTATTTGGAAGTTGAGGGTGAGCATGCAATGCGTACTACCCATAAGTAGATGACTTATAGTATTCGAGTCAAGAAACGAGTGGACGAAGGTTGTCCAAAAGTATACTCCGGGAACTTTGCTACTCTAGTACATCTGCGGTCTATACTCAAGTTTTCAAAGGAAATAGAGAGATTGAGAGCATTGAGCCAATTGTTTAGCAAATTCCAAGCAAATGTGGGTAGGTGGACTTCTGTGAATACTGACAGATGCCTCAAGTGAGCTACTGCTCAAGCCACAATCCAATCTATTCGTACCAATGTGGCGATCCTGGGATTTTCTGGCGGGGGGGGGGGGAAGAAGAAGACGAAAATTTTTTTTAGATAAAGGTACGATGTTAACAAGCACTCCAGAGATTTTTTCGGGATTTTTCCCAAAATTTTGCGCTCCCAGCCCCGAAAGCTTTTTCGGAGGCGGCAGCCACGCCTCCAAAAAATTCTTTCTATAAAGTTGAATTCAATTTTCAAAAAAGTTCAAAAGCTTTCAATTACTTTATATATAAAACCGAATGTCTGCTTGTCTGCTCCCGCCGTCTGGCTTCTTCTGGTCGCTAGGCGGTTCTCCCTGCTCCAAGCCCGGGGTCAGCGTTCGCCCCGTGGAAATCAAGAGTTGGCCTAGTAAGTCTGCTCTTGTAGGGGAACAAATTTTATTACTCAGACAGCAAGAAGATATAGAAAAACCGTGATCCCGCTTACGGCGTCGGGTGGTAGCAAGAACGATGTCAGGGTCCTTAGAGCGCCTCTTGGATCGGACAAAAACGACACGTCTACTCGGACGACACGCCGTGGAGACTGCCTCATGCTCTGCACCTACAACGCCAGGACAGTCTCCACAAACGCCAACCTCCACGCTTTTCTCGACGCTCCAGAGCACATCAAGTACCACATCATCGCTCTGCAGGAAACGAAGTCCAGGAAGAAGGACGTGCGACAGATGAGTGATGGGACCCTCATCATTCGTGGTGAAAAGGTTCCATCACGAAACGTGAGAGGCGTCGGCTTTGTCGTCCACCCATCTATCGTCCATCTTGTCGATTCGCACGAGATCCTATCACCTCGACTAGGCATCCTACGACTACGCCCTCCACATCAGAAGACCATCAGCATTACCAACTGTTATTCTCCAACATCAGCAGCTGACGAATCAGAACTAGATGCTTTCTACGAAGATGTGGAGGAGGTCGTCCGCAACGAGAAGTCCTTCTACAAGTTTGTTGTGGGCGACTTCAACGCGAAAATCGGGATGCCACTGGAAAAGGAATATAGGATCGGGAAGTTTGGATATGGGCTCCGGAACGAAAACGGCAACCGTCTTGTTGGGCTTCTCTCCGCTGCACGACTTTTCCATGGAAATTCCATCTTCGTGAAGAAAGAACATCACCGGTGGACATGGGAATCGCCCAAGGGAACGACTCACGCGGAGATCGACCACATTCTCACCAACCGAAGGTGGAGCTTGCTCGATGTCTCAGTAGTTCCATCCTTCTGCAGTGGCTCCGATCACCGCCTCCTTCGAGCGAAGATACGACTCAGCCGAAGGCTGGAAAAGAAGGTCTGCCACAGTGCCGCAAGAAGGATGAATGTCGTTTATGACGGTAACAGGCTGGAGGAACTCAAATCAAGTTGTGACTGGCCCATCGAGGAGGACCCAACGTACGACTACGAGCGGCTTCTGAAAGGATTGCGAGCCTGCGGAGAGTGCGCCTCAGTGACTTCCGAGAAGAACGTGGAACGGATTTCGAAGACCACCGGAAATGCTCGAAAGAAGAAGATTTCTGAGGCAGGATCCGAATGCAACCCATCTCGAGCGGCTGATAGCTAACGCCAGTTGCAGAACAGCCTTGCAGGAGGATCTCAGGAAGTACAGGCAAGCCAAGATACTGGAAGCAGCCGAAGGAAGACGAAGTCTCAAGAAGTGCCGAAGGGACCTCTGTGAATATCACGTGCCGCTGGCTGCACTACTGAGCGAAGACGGTACTCCGACTTCTTCCCGATACAAGATGGAATCTATCGCGAAGAATTTCTATACCAACCTCTTCCGCTCATCAACACCCGTGCCGATGCCCGTTGTTTCCACTGGAGAAGTACCACCACGAATTCTACCTGCTGAAGTGCGCACAGCGATCCAGATCATGAAGACGTCCACGGCTCCAGGACCAGACCATCTTTCCATCGAATTTCTGCGAGCTGGAGGACAACGTCTACACGAGATTCTCGCGTCGCACCTAACATCTTACCTTCAGAAGGAAAGGATTCCCTACCAGTGGAGAACATCAAGAACCGTCCTTCTTTTCAAGAAGGGTGAACGGGAAAATCTTCGGAACTACCGTCCAATATGCCTGCTGATCGTGCTGTACAGCTTTTCACGAAGATTATCCTCGCTCGCATATCTAGGACACTGGATGAAGCCCAACCCCAAGAACAAGCTGGATTTCGCAAAGGATTCAGCTGCATGGACCACATCCAGACGGTTTCGAGGGTTATAGAAGTCTGCCGGCAATACCGACTTTGCCTGCCTCTTGTCCTAACCTTTGTCGACTACGAGAAAGCCTTTGACAGCGTCGAAACCAACGCCTCCTGTCTGCGCTGGTCGATCAAGGAGTGGACCCAGCTTACGTGAGGACGTTAGCCGACTGTTACAAGGACCGTACAACGACCATGCAGCTGTTCCATCGTCCCCTGACTATTCCAATCGGGAGGGGGGTCCGACAAGGCGACACAATTTCGCCGAAGCTGTTCACCGCGGCCTTGCAGTGGGTGATGAAGTCACTGGACTGGGACGAGAGAGGCATACAAGTTGATGGGAGATTCCTGTCGAACCTTGCTGACGACATCGTTCTCTTTTCGAGCAGTATCACTGGAGCAGAGACGATGCTGAAGGAACTGAATGAAGTAGAGAAGAAGATCGGAGTGCGAATCAATCGGAAGAAGACTCAATTCATGAAGAACGCCCTTTGCGAAGATGCAGAAATGGAAATGGAAGGCACCCCTATCGCGGAGACGTCTTCTTAGGTGTATCTCGGACGTTCGATGAACATGGAGAACGACTTGAGGGAAGAACTTAACAGGAGAAGAAGAGTAGCCTGGGCCGCCTTCGGGCCTCTGAAGGAAGCCACCGACCAGCTGACGGACCCGGAGCTTCAGGCCCACCTGCTCGACTCAACCGTTCTCCCGGCGCTCTATTACGCAGCTGAGACTTGGCACACCGTAGCCACTTCGAAAGCTTTAAGGACGGCCCACAGAGCGCTAGAGCGTAGTCTTCTGAAGATGACCCGACACAAACAACATCTCGTCGGACTTCGCAGTACGGATATGAGGAGAATGTCCCGTCTTCGTGACCCAGCGGATTGCGTTGCGAAAGCGAAGCATCGATGGGCTGGTCACATTATGAGAAGAACAGACGACAGATGGACACTAAGAACATCGGAGTGGATTCCTCGCGAAGCAAAACGTCCCCGAAGAAGACCTCCAACGAGATGGGCAGACATGTTCGTGGAACGGGTGGACCAGCTGAGAAATCAGCTGGATACGATTTCTGCACCTGGAAGTCGTGGACGCAGCCACCGACGCCAGCCAAGAACATCGTGGATGTCTGAAGCGAGGGACAGGGAGAAATGGAAACTTCTGAGCTGCGACCCGCACGTTACGTGAAGCCGGGCCATCTAAGTAAGTAAGTAAGTAAGTAATGTCTGCTTGTATCGTCTGTCCCTCAGAAATGTTCCGATAGGTAACGTCTCTTCCGCAGCTTCTGCTATAAGCCGTCCGCGCAAAACGCGAAGTGCGCGGCGAGTGTGTTAGATACGCGTCACTTCTCTTTTTTCATGCACTCTTGCTGCTTGCTTTCTTTGCGTCTCTTCCAGTCATGAACTGTCCTCAATGACGCAACAGCGTTGCTGTCCGAGCGCCGCGAAAACGGCATGTGCCCTTGATCTGTCTGACTTGCAGCATGCGTGGCCAATATGCTGACAACATGCAGCAACATATTGGCGCTGAGGCTGATAGCCAAAATGTTCTGCCAGCATGTGCACGTTGCAAACACGTTGCTGCACGTTGCCAACATGTTAGCCATACGTGCCGCAGTCGAGACGCGGACCAAGGCTAGCAGCAACTGTGAAAGGCACATTACCTACCTAACTACCCTCGATATCATCCCATATGTCTTCCCTCAACATGACGTGGATTACGTGGTTTGATGAGGCGCCGCCTCGCCTCGGGCTCGCGCCACGTTGCGAGCGCATCATTTGGCGCGACGTGGCGCTCAACACAACGTGGCGCAGGCTTTTCCACGTTCTTCTTGTTGCCACATCACGCCGAAAATGCGCACGCAACGTGGCGCAAGCCCGAGGCGAGGCAAGTAACTTGGTTATACTTGCATATTTTTTTAATTCATGTAAGTAGCTTCCAAAAATTTCGCGATTCTTTCTCGGGGGGGGGGGGGGAGGCTGAATTACTGATTTCTGTTCGTAACATGCGCTACTGGTGTGCACGTCTGTTCCTAATAAACCAGATTTTGATTTATACGGAAAGGTTATAAACCAGTCATAGTTACAACCCTAGTAACTCTATAAAAACAGTTTACTGGTATTCTCGGAAGTCCACATAAGATACGAGACTGAGGCAGAAAGCCAACACAAAATCGGACCAAGACGTACATATGGATAAATAAAAGAAGATACCTGGAAATGTGAGAATACCAGTGGCGATCAGCCCCCCCCCCCCTCCAAGAATGGGTCGCGAAATATTAGAAACTGACTTACATGGG